GCACTGTGATGCCACAGTATGTTAATAAGTGTGGGATAGCTCTGCCAATTGATATCCTACCTGCTAAAGCTCTTGTTAGGACACGGCAATTTGTTTTGAACTGGCTGTTAGTTTTGTAAGAGCCAAAACTCTTGGGTAGGGTTTGGTATATAATTGTGCAAGTGGCTGAGCTCAAAGAGCTCACTCACCTTAGCAGTATTTATCAGTAACTAGCAATCACCTACAAGATATCATGGTATCTATATTTTATCCAATGGAAGTGTCATTTAAATCAATTTAATTAGGTTTGAATAAACATCTCGTGGGAATACATTGTATCTTTTAAAGATATCATTCCAGGCAAACAGTAGCTTCAGACTGGAACTGCTTCACTGGTTAAATTCATGTACTTTTTGTTACTGTTGCAATCTTACAGGATGAGAGAGGTTTTAAAACAAAACGTGCAGTCTAGAGCATAATGACATGACAGCTTTTTAATAAACTGGCAAATACATGTACTTGTATCTCCCTGGTAGTACGCTGTGTCAGGTTCCTTCTGTCTTTCAGGGCAGGTGGATCAGTGAGAAATGCTACTTGTTTATTAACTTTCCAACTACAAAGGAGAATCATGCTTTTTTGCAGCAGAAAGTCGAATATGGAATAATACTGAAATAATTAGAATAAGTTTGGTATCATACTGATTGCAGTAAACAAGGTCTCAAGTGGTAAGTAGGTAATTCTTAATTTTCACTCAGAAGTTGTCATACTGTGCCACACTGAAAGAGGTCCTCTAAGAGGTTGTCCCAGAACATGGTGACAGCAGCAGCTCAGCTCAGTAGCTGTAGTGGTATTTGCTGATTCTGTAGTTAAACTCAGTCACCCTAACCTCGATTTTCAGAAACTAACAGCCAGAACAAATGGGCTCTTTAAAAAAAAAGTTATTTTTAAATTGATTTGATAGTTTCCTACTAAGAGTGCTAGCCTTGGTAAAATAGCATAACAGGAGAACTGATTAAATTTCCTGATGTTTAGGGTCAAAATCTGTGCTGTTTATGTACTAGGATAAGTTCCCTGCCTTTAGTGTGCAGCTTTTGAGTACATACAGTAACCATGTTAATATGTATATATTTAAGTCCACTTGTTCAACTTACAGCTGTCTATCAGAACTGTGAAATCTGATGATCTTCGGTTTATGAGATAAAAATATCATAATATAGATACATCTGAAACAACAATGGAGTCCTAATTGTATCAGTCACTCTATTTATTTTGGTGTGATGCACTAGAGGAGTTTATTTAAAGGATAGTAACTAAACCATTTTGATTTTATTTTCTAACATTGTTGTATAGTTTTTGCTTTTAAACATAGTATGAGAAATACAGAAAGCATTAAGTAAACATGCCAGTAGTACTGCTGCAATAATAATAATTATAGAAAAAATTAATATAAATACTTCACCAGTTTAAGTCCGAAGTCATTTCACACAAATAATGTAAGCAAATTTAGATTTACCATATAATTTAGCATATTTTCTCTCTTTAATTTTTCATATGATAAAATCAGAAACTTTTTTGCCAAATCATTCTCCTATCTTACTGCAAATTCTGCCTTTAAAAATTGTTAGCTGTCATGGAAAAGCATTTTACTTCATTACTTACATCTTGATCTAGAATATACTCTTTTAAAAGCTTCCTGTTGCAGTGTAATTTATAAAAATAATGGTGTGAACATTAAGGTAGAGCAACTGGTGGCATTTTAAGATCAGTATCGAAGATTCTATCCCAGGTTAAGTGATAGCAATTAATGAGACACGAGACCTGGAAACAAGTCTGCACAAGAACCAGGGATGGAGCTGAATCAGCAGCTACTGTGAACCACTGGGCAGGGATATCTAAGGGAATGGAGCTGTGTAAATCATTAAACATCAGTGGTTTTGACACATTAATGTTACCATTTAATATACATAATAATCCTCAACATGGCTGCAGCAAAGACTGCAGTGGTATTTAGCAGTGGCACAACAGCATGGGAGGAATAATTGTGTAATGCTGATGAAAGTGAAGTAATCAATTTGCAATCAAGGTTTCCTGTAAACTCACTTTTAATATTACATTTGGCAAATACAGGCATTATGTCCAAAAAGCATGTGTCTCTTTCTGTAGACATGACTGACAAGCCCTATGAGCAATGTGCTTGCAAAACAAATATGACTCAATACCTTTGGGTCGGTAACTCACACAAATCACACAGAATGTTCTGAGTTGGAAGGGACTGGCAAGGATCATCAATTCCAGCTCTCAAGTGAATGGCCCTTATGGGAATTGAACCCACAACCTTGGTGTTATTAGCACAACGCTTCGAAAAAAAAGATGAAGAATGTTTTTTGGTAATGCTCCTAAGGTGTTTCTTAGAGAAAGTAGCAATTCACATGTTGGAGAAACAAAATCAGAATGGGGTTTATAAAAATCTGTATGCTGTGTGATAATTGTGCCTTCTTGTAGAATATACACAGTTACTCAAACTAATTGATAACATTGTATGCTTAAGCAGATTTTTTTATATTAAAAAAATAAACACATTCTTGAAATTTACAGTTTTACCAGACCAGCCTGTCTTTCAGGTGAGCATTGTGACAGCTGCTTGTGACGTAGAGTACGAGAGAAAAACCAAGTATGCAATTTGTAGAACTAAAAAGAAATCCCTTTTAGTTTAATTTCCCAAAGATGGAATCAGAGACGTGGGCATGTTCACAACTGACACAATGTGAAGTGTATTTTCACGTAGGCCAGCACAAGGTTCTCAGCAGAAGTTATTACTTAATACAATGGGGGGTCCCAGATCTAAGCTGACCCCTGCAGGTATTTTTTAATTCTCAGTAGGGATTCTCTTACCTGTAGTTTGCTAGTTAACCAAGCAAATAATGTCAATTTACTTAAAATACAAACCATTTAATGCTGAGCTATGGCATGATAAGTTCTGGTGAGCTATGACATAATCAACATTTTTAACTCAAAACATGCAGAGCCCCCATTTCATTTCTGTTTGAACTTGCTTGCTCCAGAGCTACCCAGCAACGCTGAATGAGATTGCTAGAATGAGCTGTTTCTTGTCCATTCCTGAGGTTACACATTTTCTGAGCCATTTTTTTCTTTTCCTTGTGGGATTGATCTTCAGCACTGCTGAAGTCAATGAATGCGTATGATGACTTGAATGTAGTGTTGAGAAATTACTTCTTTCTCCACTGAAATGACTTGTGAGAAGAATTACAAAAACTGTTTATCACACACTGTTGAAACCCAGTTTGAGTAAGAAATCATGGACTGTCTCATAACACTGAAAGCTGTCCACAAGCTTAAGTTTGGTGTGAACTTTAGAAAACAGTTTTAGAGGCTGAAAGGTGTGGGGAAGTCTTTTAAGTATAAATTATTTTCTACACATTTAAGTTATATATCAATATATAATGCTTTATATCTGCATACACACACATGCACAGAGCAAACCACTCCACACTGGAAAATCCAGATCATGATCTCTATCACACCTTGAAAAAGCTGTCAAACATGATCATGTTGGGCAGTAATTTTTCACAGTTGTGGTGCAGTTCGTTAGCAACATTAAGCACTATGGTGTGTACTCCCTGTCCTAGGATAAGCCCACCAGAAAAGAAACCATGTAACTGCCACAGGGTGAAAACATCATTCAAACGAGGAAGAGTTTGTGTCTGTGCTCTCGTGCATGCACAATGGCTTTTATTTGCCCGGAGAGAAGATTGCTGAAAAATGCATAAGCACTCCCCTGATCTGGTGGCTCATGTGAAAACAAGCAACCTAACTGGCAATAGGGCAGACTTTGTAGCTATGCTACTGTTATAGCTCGTGAAATATTACTGAGAAGAGTAATTCCTAGAGGGAAATAAGGAGTCTGCCATTTCCAAGACATAACAGCATCTAAATTCTATACAGATGTCATGTACACACTGACTCTGAATATCTTCTATGACTTAATTTGGAGCATGAGATGCCCCCTCATCATCAAGAGGCAGATGAAGAACAGGATGGTTTGAGTGATTGCTTATTTCTGTAATGGTGTGACCTACACCTCATCATCAAGAGGCAGATGATATCAACTGGGGATGGGTGCAGGCGTCACACAATGCAGAAAATGAGGCTGCACCACCCACTGCGAATTGAGGGTTGGAGTTTAGGGCAAACTGACATTAATAGCCCTTCTCCCTCCCTGATTAACTCCGTTCCCCAAAACTCAGGCTCTGAGGTTACATCTTTATTTCTCATGTAAATCTTCTATCTATCCACTTAGTCCAACTGAGGGAAGGCCATGTGCGCTGCACACAGCAGATCTAGAAGCTGCTGAATTGTGCTCTGTCCAGCACTAGTCGCTCCTCCACGACACCTCAGCGGCCTCACACTGAAACCAGCATCACGCAGGGTCAGAGGTTTGTGACTGGGGGCACGCACGGAGCTGGGGCCCGGCACAGCCTCGAGTGCGGAGCTGCTGCTGCAGGCGAGCGCAGGAGCCCTGAGCTGCGGGCGGCTCGTCAGGAAGTGCCACCCCACACACCTGTGTCACCACACACGCTATTTCGGTGGTCACAAACGCAGCTCCCACGGCATCCCGGATAAGCTTTGCCTCATCCGGCCGCACACCCGGCCGGGGAAGGGAGGAGAACGGCACCACCGGCCCAGCTGGGCACATGGAGGGGAGGGGACACAACCTCCACGCCACAGCGGGATGAAGGAATGCCCGACAGTCCCGACCTCTGAAGGGCCCCGCCGGCCCGAGGGACACCGCAGCGGGCTCGGCACCTTCCAACGGGACGGAAGGGAGGAGGCAGGGGGGGAGGGGAAGGTGGCAGCGTGTCCCGGGACACCCGCGGGTACCGGGAGCTGAGCTGGTGCCGGCGGGAGGGGGCTGTGGGACACGCTCCCAGCACGGCGGGAAAGGGCGGGGAAAGGCAGGACCTACCGCGCATGCGCGCTGGCCGCCCCCCTCTCACCATTACCTGCGAGCTGCCAGGCGCCGTCGCCTTCTTTTTCTTGGCGGGGCCGGTGCCCGGGCTCGCCGGGCGTTTCTTGCCGCGGGACGCGGCGCCGGCAGGGGACGAGGCGGCGGCGGGGACCAGGCTCGCCATGCCGCCCCGCTCCGCGCCCGGGCCGGGAGCGCTCCCCCTCCCCGGTCGTTGTAGCAATGCTGCGGCCGCGCGTGCGCAGTGGCGGTGGCGCGGCTCCACACCCCCGGCCGGGCCTGGTCGGGGAGGCCGAGGGTGAGCGGGGCTTGCCCGGCCCGTGTGGGGCTGAGGGCTCAGGGCGCCCGCCCCTGAGGCGAGACTCGTCGGAAGCAGCTCTGCCGCCTCCTCGTTGCTCTGCGGTGTCGTGGGCCCCTTTTTAGAAACCTGGCTGCGGTGGCAGCCTCAGCCCCGGGGTAGCCCGTGTGCGTGGGCGGTAGCAAAGTGTGTCGAGGTGTGAGGGTTTCGCACCGTAGAGGGTGAGCGGGACTGGAAAAGGCGCTGGTTCTGAGTCATTCATACCACAGGGGCCTTTGCAGTAGTTTGCAGGGAGGGGCGCAGTAAAAAGATGTGGGAGCAGCTCCACACGGGCTGTAGTTTGGGACGTGGGGCCCTGTCCCCGCGCCGTGCCAGCTCTGGAGCTCTGTGTGCTCCCTGCAGGTGCTGTGTTAAGCCTGCTCAAGGTGAGATAAAGTTTATGTGAAAGGCCCTTACACGATGAGAACGGTGTGCAAGTCTCAGATGTGTCCGGTTTTTTTCCAGTTGCCTCGATAAAATCTGCAGAGGGGTTTAGTTGCTCCATTCAGCTCTCAGATGATGAGCTCTGACAAGCTGAACCAGCGCTCAGTGTGATCGGCCGCACTGAGCTGCAGCAACTCCCTGAAAGAGACTCTAGTGAGCTGGGGTCTGTCTGTTCCACCGTGACTGCAGAGAGAGGACCAGAGAAAGTGGCCTTAAAATGAGATAGGGGAATTTGAGATTAGCTAGCAGAAGAAAAAAATTCACTGTTTAGGTGGCCAGGCATTGGAATAGGCTTCCCAGGGAGGTGGTGGAGTGCTTGGATCTGGCACTGGGTGATATGGTTAGGAGTTAAAGAGATGGTGCCTGGTTGACAGCTGGACTTAATGATATTAAAGATCTCTTCCAACCTTGACAATTCTATGATTCTAACTATGTGACCTTTCAAAATGCAAGTTATTACCGTTAACTTTAAAAATTTCAGACTATAACTACAGCTGGCTGATACTGATTGCCTGTCTTCAGAAGATTTGGTTGCATCTACAATGTTTTGGCGTGGCTAGTGGCCTGGTCCAGTGATTTTTCCTCTTTTTGGAATCTGGAATAATTTTTCACTGGAGAAATACACCAGAATAGATTTGAGGTTATTTGGGCTGTGCTCTAAAGAGTTTTCGCAGTCATCTTATTGTCTGTGCTGTTTCACACTGTGCCCCAGAGAAGTGGTTGGTGATGAGGTGATGTTGCACAGTTCTTAAACTGCTTAATGACTGAGAAAACTTCTGAGCTTTGTGCTTGCATACATCTGCATTCAACATGCTGGTCAACTTATTGCCATGTTTGTTTGAGCTACTTCTGTGCAGTGCCAGTCTGCTAGGTTTCCAGCTGCAGCTGCATGCAATCCTGTCCCAGCACATGCCTTGCAGGGAGGCAGAGGTCCAAGAAGTTGATATTCAAGCATAAAAATTAGGTCACGTTTATAGACGGTGCTGTAATGAGGACTGAGCTTGGGCACAGTAGGGGTGCCAGGCAGTGCTGTGTAAAACAAAAACTTTGAAGGTGGCCTGAAAGAGAGTTGAAGACAAAAGCCTGGACTTCCAGGCTGTGTTCCAGGCACCTGTGTATGTGGCAGAAAAGCAGGACAAGATTTGCTTTCCAAGGGCATAAGCAGGGCCTTGTACAAACATCCAAGTCCCATATTCTCCTTCCCAACTGTAGTTGCTGTCTTTCTGTCTGAGCACACAGGCTGCCAGCAGTACCACAAAGCCAACTGGTAAACTGGATTGCATTTGCCCTTAGTGAGCGTTTTAGGCTTGTGTGTTCTGCAGTTTCCATTTCTTCTTGCTTCAACTGACAACATGCTCAAAATGGTGACCTGAGTGTGGAATTAGCAGGGGCGCTGGGAGTTGCAGGGGAGTTGTGTCCCTTGATAAAGCCAGATCTGCTTTGCTGTGTGCTCAAAACGTTGATCTTGTCTTAGTCAGCCTTTTCTTGTTCCCAGGGCTGGGTCCTGTCCCTTTCCCACGCACATGCTGTGTGCTCAGCTCCCAGGCATGCCCAATTAAATAGGAAGCATACCTTATCACAGAGATGTTTTTACTGAGAGGAGCATCTTTAATGCAAGTGAATCATGCAGAGACTTAACGTGCTGCATCAGTGAAAGTTTTAAAATAGCGCTTAGCCAGGCATTTTCTTATCTGTACCCATTTTTATCAATTGGTTTACTAAAAAAATCACAAGGCCCATGTGTATTGCAGCAATATTAAGTACAATAGAATTTTACACGGTACCAATTGCTTCACAGAATCAATGGGTCAGCCTGAAGGACACCAGTGGGTCGTCTGGTCCAACCTCCCTGCTCAAGCAGGGTCATCCCAGAAACATGGCACAGGATTGTGTCCAGACACTTCTTGAGTATCTTCAGGGAGGAAGATCCCACACCCTCTCTGGGCACCCTGTTCCAGTGCTCAGGCACCTGCACAGTAAAGAAGTTCGTCCTCATATTCAGGTGGAACTTCCTGTGCAGTGAGAAACTGTTACCTCTTATCTATTGCTCAGCACCACTGAGCAGAGCCTGGATCCATTTTCTTGGCACCTTCCCTTCAGATACTGACATTTATGTGGTCCCCTCTCAGTTGTCTCTTCTCAAGGCTGGACAGGCCAAATTCCCTCAGCCTTTCCTCGTAAGAGAGATGTTTACCTGCTCCAGTAGCTCCATGTTTCTCTTGTACTGAGGAGCCAAGAACTGGACACAGTACTCCAGAGGCAGCTTTCGTAGGACTGAGTAGAGGGGCATGATTACCTCCCTCGACCTGCTGGCAATGCTCTTCCTAATGTGCACCTCGGGATCTTTTTGGCCTTCCTGGCCATGGCTCATACAGAGCTCACTCATGGACAGCTTGTTTTCCACCAGGACCACGGAGGTCCAGGTCCATGGAGCTGCTTTCCAGCAGGTTAGCCTCCTGCCAGTACTGGTGCCTGGGGTTATTCCTCTCCAGGTGCAGGACTCTGCATTTGCCTATGTAGAATTTCAGACAGTTCCTCTCTGCCCCGCTCTCCATCCTGTCTAGATCCCTCTGAAAGGCTGCAAAGCCCTTTGAGGTATTGGCCACTATTCCCAGCTTTTTGTCATTAGGGAACTTGTTGAGGAGGCACCTGCCCCTTCATCTGAGTCATTGATGAACAAGTTAAACAATACTGGGCACAGTATTGAACCCTGGGGGACACCACAAATGACAAGCCTTCAACTGGACCTTGTGCCACTGATTATGACCCTCTGGGATCTGCTGTTCAGCCAGTTCTCAATCCACCTCACTTACAATCCTGAAACACCCATAACTCAGAGAAATAGGAACAATGGCAATATAAACAGTGATGGTGTCTGTGGGGGCTGAGTAACAGAATTAGGGCTGAGAGAAGGGCTGTGGAGTTGCATGGTACATTGTCCCCACTCCTTTGAGTGGCTGTTCAGCCCTGCTGAAAACGAAGAGACATTTTTCTGCTGAATAAATGTCATATGTATCTTGCTGGGTTCCTGTTACACAAATAAGCAGTCACTTTGGGATATGGTGACTGATGAGGGCTCATTTGAACAAGTGCAAATTGCAATTCCTAACCTGGCTAGGTGCAACAAGGCTCTTCCTGCTGTTAATTTTGAACTTGGCTTGAGCTGAATACCTTTCCCTGACTGGTACTGCAAGGTATATTTTTATATGCTACCTTGCTAATAAGAAAATTAAATACAGCTTAGCAACAACTCTGCATGCTTTTTGATGTAAACGTTCACCAACTTCCCTTTTTTGTGGTAGTCTTAGGGAGCTGGAAAGGTCCCTGGTACTTTTTAAAATAATATTTGGTGCAAAAGGCAGGTATCTCCTGAATTAGGGAAGAAGATCTCAGGCTCCTATCCTAGATTTGTGATGTGAGGTTTTGGTTTTTTTGTTTGGTTTGGATTTTCGGGGTTTTTTACCCTTTGGTTGGATGAAAATTGACCATGATAATTTTCTCATCATGCACAGGGGATTAGTACAGTGCGAAGCTTTTTGAGGCATATGAGGGGTGGTGAGTGCCTCACGATCTAAGATTCAAGTTTTTTTCATGGAGGAAGTAAGTGCTGGGAGGAAAAAAAAAAATGTTTGGAAAGCCAGCAGAAATATATTTAGCGTGAGTTAGGATAAGCAGAGTGGAGAATGCAAGGTCCCCAGGAGCCGTGTGAGTCAGAGCTGCTCCCTGCCCCAGCCCCAAGCGCAGCTTCCCAGCAAGTGGAGAGCTGTGCCAGCTCTCTTCCTACCGGTGAGCTGGCCCAGTGGAGTGGCTGCTTGTGGTGGGAGGCCTTCTGACTGACACATTCAGGCTGCCTGGGAGGAAATGTGCTGAATGCTTTCAGTCCAAATGCATGGGTATTCTTCTGCTCCATGAAAAGGAAAAGGCTAGTATCTGTAACTATGTATTTATTTTATTTCAAGCTTTGAACTTAAATCTCTCTCAGTACCCAACTTACATCCTTCCTGGCTGTTAAGCTTTCAATATTCCTATTATTCTTACTTCTGTGCTACAGAAAAATGGATGGATTAGAAATTAAATTGTGGCTTTACTCATTGGCTATATTGCAGTTTGTAAGATTATCAAGTACCTAAAATGATGTAAGAGAATATGTATAATCCCTCTGTATATCACTGAATTAGAATGAAGAGTTTAGAATTCTTACATAACCTCTCCCTGTTTTTTGGGGGGGTGTTTTTTGTACCTGCAAAGTGGGGATAACCTTTTATTGGACAGTAGGTTGAAATGAAGTTAGGAAGCTGTGGCAGTTAAGAAATAGCTCTTAGTGATGGTTACATAGTGATTTGTACTATTAAAATTTCCTGGCGACAGTATCCAACACGCTCAGA